CGTACTCGGACTACTTCCAAATGCCCCTTGAGGGGAGTAAATTTTTTTTTTAAATGTGCTTTTGTCTTTTTATTTAATACTTTAAAAGTGAATAGTTAAAAATTCTCTGCTGCATGTGGGTGTGTGTTTTCTTTTCTGAGAATTGAACGTTTGTAAGTTGCCCAGGTAATCGCACCTTGTTGACAGCAGTAAGCAACTTGCAAAGCTTTTGTTCTTCATCCGAGAAAATTTGAAAAGATTTGCTTAAGGCGACGGAATTTCCTAACATGCAACGGCACTAATTTACCAACTTAATAATTTGATTAAAATACTGATGCTTCGTTTTTAATCGATACACAGCATCCGCCACTTGCTGTGCGACCTGAAATTGATATCGGCTTCAGCTTTCATCAGACGAAGCAGGGAGTGAGAATCGTGGGAATCGGATACTTGAGCTTTTTCTTTGTCATTTCATTTGTCTTCCTAAGCTTGCTATTATAGAATCGCTTCCCTGTCGCTGTGTGGATAGAGATGAACTACTTCAGCATATTCTCTTATTAATCAGTAAGTAACTCTCCAAGGGGTTTTTATTTTCATTCATTTTGCCCCTCAATTTTCATTTTTTTTATTGGTATTAAGTTGCTGTTGGATGCACATATTTTCTTTTGTTTAATTTTTTTGAGTACCACAGCATGTGAAATTTTACGCAAATCGACACTGGTTTTCCTGGGTTTTTCTCTCTTTTTTTTTGCACAGGAGCCAAAATTCTTATGGTGCTCGCAGCTGCTGCTAGCTTGGCATAATTTCTTTCTTCTTCCCTTGGAACTAATGCTTGGCTTCGCCGAGATATCATTTTCATTTATAATAATTGTTTTTCTCAGGTTAAAATGGGATAGGGCGAGTCGAGTAAACATGGGTATTACAATTTGCTGTTTTCAGCGACACGTTTTGCCGACAAAATTGTATATTATTTGTTGCACAAAATGCAGAGTGTGCAGGATAGTTTCAAATTGGGCGCTATCAATGTACTCAGGCATCTGCTTAATTCAGCAGGTAAACTTTTAGTGCACAAAGACTTCGTCTGAATATTTTTTATAAAATAAAAATCATTTATTACAAAAATAAGCAGTCGGAAATTACTCAAAAGTGGTTTTTATTAGACAGTCATGTTGAAATCAATCAGCCGTTCATATTCCATTTTTTTATGGAAGGTATAAGGTGCGCGAAAATACATGGTTGCTCTTCAACCTCCCGCTAGTGGTACTGCTGATGGGGCCGTCTAACGGACAGAATCGTCTTTTGGCGATCCTGACGTTTTTTTTCATCTGTTGAAGGGATTGCTAATTTTTTCACAACAGCATTTGGCAAGATTTTTGACGTTTTGAAACACACCTGATCTGTATTGATCATTACTACTTCATCCTTAACATTGCTATTCCCAAACTGCTTACTGAACAGGAACTTACTACTGAACTACTTACCACTGAACCGATGTATTGGGTTATTTTTGAATTAGACAAATTTCTTTTCTCAAAATGCTGAATTTGGGCAACATTTAATAATCATTTTATTTGTGCAGGGCCATATATCGACGACAAACGGTCACTGGTGATTCTTGGCTTGAAGCCGATGTTGCAAGCTGGTAGTGAGGGCACTCTGAGCATTCGAGTGAAAAAAGCTATGTGCCAGCTATGCGTTGCGCTAGCAGATCATGAGTACGTTGACGTAGAAGGTGGCGACAATGTTATCACATTTTTGGTGAAAAATCTCGTTGCACATGATCCGGAATCGGTAATCATTTATTTTTATCTGGGAGAGCCCAGAACATTTTCAGCAGAATATTTTAAAATATTTTTCGAGTTAATAAATCCTGGCATCTCCTTTTGTTCGTAATATCAATGTCTGTAATCAAAGATTTTATTTTCGAAACCGGTTTACGATTTCGCTCGAAGTTCGCGAAGAACTAGGCTTGATTTTCTTCGAAGCTTTTTTTCCAAGCATCTTTTTCGCCCATCTCTTCAGGATTTTTTGCTAATATTTGAGACTGATTAATATTGAGTTTGCTTTACTCGTAACTCCTCTTCACCGCACTAACAAGATTTTGAAATCAGTGAGATTTGGCGGAATTTTTGAATTTGACCGAAAATTTTGCTAAAATAAATTCCGCGAATTTTTGAATTTTTACGCAGTTTCCGTGGCACGATTTTTTTTTAGTTTTTGTTGACTGATCGTCTTATGAGACGTGTGCTCATGAATTTTTAATCGAATGCTGAATTTTGAAAATTCTTGGTACCTGTATTTTTATTACTCCTAAGTGTCAGAGATTTAAATACAGCAGTATCCATTTCCAGCTGTGTTATCAGGCTTTTATGCAGTATATATGAATGAATGCGGTTGGCGTGAGCTCTGATTTTGATGGATCCATAGGTGCTTCCAGTGGAATTTGAGTACAGAAGAATCATAACTTGGTGCTGCGTTCAAATCAGTATATTTTTTCTTACTGTCTGTAAATCCTTTGCAGGCAAAGAAAGCATTCTTTTCATCGAGCACCGAGGCCAACGACAGTGCAGCACACCTTCGAACACAGTGTGGGCAAGCACTGCAGACTATTGCCAAGACTTGCTCTACTGCTCATAATGTTAGCGCACCCAGCATTGCTAATATTTATCACGACTGTACGGGACAATTTTTCTTTTCCGCAGACCTTTTTCCGCGCAAAATTCAAAATTTTTCGCTTCATCAAATTTTTCAGTTCAAAAGAAAAACCCTCTAATTTGACGCAGGCATCATTTCAGCTTCTATGGCCGTATTTGTTCGAATGTATTTGTGCACAGGAATATAACATGGCACTGACTGACATTTTCAAATGCATCAGAATCCTGGCCGAACGAACGATTGAAAAAGGCGAAGAGCTGGATTTTGAGAAAGGATTTGATAGTCGTAAGTTACAATATATATAAAAATATTTTATTTTTAGTTTTTTATGAGTTAAAACGATAAGGACGGTGACATTTGCTTCGAAGCTTTCATAGTGGCACACATATGACTAGTGCATTATTATTGCCGGCTTCTTCACGTGCACTATTTTCAGCAGACTTTGTTTCTTGAAGTGCATTTTTTGGCAAAACTTTTGTTCAATTTTTCAATCATTGCTGAGAGATTGTTTGCGTATTCGGCAAGCTTACTTATCCTGCATTTTTTTAGCTCGTGTTGCGGGGAGTTTCCAAGTATTTTCTCGCCTTCTCACGTCCATGAATAATGCACCAACGAGTCTGGCACTGTCGAGAAGAGCTGCTGAAGCACTGCGATTGTTGAGTGTTTTGGCACCATGGTTTCACAGCTGTT